TCCAGCATGGCTGGCTGGGGAATTCTTGGAGTTTTAGGCCACTCATCCTAAAGTGGCCAAGGTTGGACAACACTGCCTTAAGGGAAAAAGACTACTGTATACTTGTAGAAGAGCCAAGAATTTTAGGTGCCAAAATGCACCCCAAAAATTGGGTTCTGCTTATCTGCGGATGGGCTCATCCACATATATATATATGGTAATACTTTCTAAAAACCCCTTATTTCCTGGATATATTCATGGGTAAATCCATCCACAGATAAGCCGACCCTTGAATTTTTACCAAAATACCATGAAAAATGCAGATCGATACATTTTTCATGCTATTTAAAAATTCAAGGGTTGGCTCATCTGCGGATGGGCTTATCCATGAGTATATGCGGCAACCTTAAATCCCAGAGCTGTTCATTAGTGGTAATAGGGGATGACGGCCAAATAGAGCCTCCATGCACAGAAGCAGAATATCTCCAAATACTGGAGACAAGCAACAAAACTTCAATCACTGAACAACTTTCTTGAGCATTGTGGAAGAGCAAAGAATACAAAATGGCTAGGATCAGGAGTGGGCAACCTTTGGACTTACCCAGAAAGCTCAAAGTCAGGGAAATCTGGGTTAAGGAAACCGGTGGCAGCCCCTAATTCTTCCTTCCTAATCTTTCCTCCCCACCCCACACTGCCCGGGTGTGAATAGCTAACGAAAGAAAAGACTGTACGTAGGATATGCCTGGAAAACCAGTCCTCTTCACAAAACACCACTGAATTTAGACGTGGACACCGAAATTCCAGCTTAACTTACAGAACACATGAAGCTGCTTTCGCTGACACGTCTCCATCGCTCTTGCTTCTGACACAAGACTGCCAGATCAGCTTTTGGAGGTCTCCCCCAACCAAGACATAACTGAGAGCTTTCTGCACCCAAAACAAATGGTGGGACTCCAGGCAATCTGGTGGATCTCAGGGTCACAAGTTGCTGTCATACATATTGACTGGGTTCATATTCATATTCCTTGGGCCACGTATCTAGGTTATACATGAACGGACTCAGAAAAGTCCATGTGAGACCTTTCAAAGCGAGCCATAAAGGCAGAAGATTTTTCCCTGATAGATCTCTGCTTCTGCAGCATGGAGAGAAGCTCAAGATGCCTAAGGAGGCATAATGAAAGAGGCTTCCCCAGAGAAGAGATGATCCCCCCCCCCACATGAACTGGAGGTGGCTGAGACCATCAGGTGGAAAACGACCAGGAGGCATGAGGAGAGGACCAAGCTGGGGTTGGCCAAGTCTTGTTCAGAGTTATAAAAGGGGACGGGAACTCTGGTCCTTTGGAGTCACCACAAAGATCAAGGGACCCAGCACAGGATTCTTCTGGATCTCAAACCTGGTCCCAGTCAGCTGCCTTTGAGTTGGGCCCCTAGGCCCAGGAGCATGAATGCATGAAGGAGCGGAGGCTCTCTTTTAGAAAGCAAGAGGACAACTGGCACCTCCAGAGATGTCCTGAAGACCCTCCCCAACATCCTTCCTTGAATCTTCCCCCTCCTTTCTTCGGCTCTCAAATGGCTGGGGAGCTTAGCCAGATCACCAGAAGCCGAGTCGCTCTGGATTCTCAGCTGTTCCGGAGGGGGGAGGCAGCTGAGCAAGGAAAGGAGCCTCCCTCTGCCAGCTGGCCTTCTTCCTCCCCCCCCCCAGAAGACGCCTCCAAGATCTCGAAGTTTAAGCCAAAACAACCGTAGTCAGCCCAAAGTCAGCCAAGAATGAATCAAACAGCTGCACCGATGGAAGCGGCCCCATTACAAATAGCTAAATTGACCTTTA